ATTGTGGTGGTGGTGATATCATTGTGGTGGTGGTGATATCAATTGTGGTGGTGGTGATATCATTGTGGTGGTGGTGATATCAATTGTGGTGGTGGTGATAGATGATGGTCCGGGTTCATGTGTAGCGCTGACGACGGCGTTGGTTGTGGGTGTGGTTGGTATCAGGCTGGCTGCGTGTGGAGGTTCGGTCTGTCTGTCGGCAGCAGTCCGGCACACACACACACGCACACCCCTTGGCAAGGGCAAGAGGAAACACAAACGAAGAGATTTCCTTGGGGAGTGCTTCCCGTCGTCGCACTCCCCGCCTCTTCCTCCCTCTCGCCTCTCCCTGCGCGAGTTGTGTGTAGCAGATAGATTACCCACACGGCAAAAATTGCAAACCTGGTGAATCCTAGCCTCCCATGAAATCCACCGTTTACATACTCCAAAGCCCGTCCTCGTCGCCGCAAGTTCCTTACACTTCAGTTGTATCTAAGCGGTGACCGTACGTACGTGATTTTTCTTTGCTTTGGTTCCGTAACGAATCCTTCCTCCGGCGGCGGCATCGGCAGGCGGCATCGGAGGCGGCGCTGCCCCCGCTCGGCCCATCCTCACCACGAGCAGCAGCGGCGGCAAGAAATCGAACGGGAAAAGGTTCGCCTCATCCTCCTCCACCAAGAAGTCCAACGGCGGCGGGGGAGGGGGCACCGCAGACGGCGACGGGGGCGGCGACCCCCGTTCGAGATCCAGGTCGAGGTCGGGGTCTCGGAGCAGCTCGAGGTCTTCCAGATCTTCTAGGTCCTCTAGGTCTTCTAGGTCGTCGAGATCGTCTAGGTCTTCGTCGAGGGGTCGGCGGTCTAGCAGCCGAGGGAGCTCGCGGTCGAGGAGCAGCGGGAGCAGCAGGTCGCGGTCGGGCAGCAGGGGGGGTCGTTCTAGGTCGCGGTCTTCGTCGAGGAGTCGCGGCAGGTGAGAGGGAGGATAGAGGGAGAAGGGGAGCGAAAGGGAGAGAAGGAAAAAGAGACGAACGAGGGAGAGAGAGAGAGAGAGAGAGAGAGACAGAAACGGTGGATCCTGCCCGAACCTTGTTTAGGTAGCGTACAAGCCTGCGTTTGCTCAACGGTACACGGCGACAAATTGCGGCGCCGAGCCTGGACCCAAAGTTGTCGGTTATTCATCACTGGCCCCATGCAGTGCGCCGACTGTCTGTGTCTCAACGGCTTTCTGTCTGTCTGTCTGAACGGCTATCCTCCTATCTGTCTGTTTGTTAACGGCTCTGTCTGTCAACCATTACCTGTCTACAAAGGGGGCGCGGAAGGAGCAGGCACCGCAGCGACAGCCGGTCGAGGTCGAGAAGCCGACGGTCGGAGGACGGGCCTCGAAAGGGGGACGTCAAGATTGAAGTGGAGGTTGGTGCTCGTACGTGGGACAGCAGTTGTTGCGGTCGTTGTCGGCGTCGTCAGTGCTGTCGGTGATGGTGTTATTGTCACCGCAGTTCGGGCCCACGTGGGGCCCCTTCTTGGGGCGGTCGGTGTCATTGTCGTCGTCTTCGTCGGTGCTGTCGGTGCTGATGGTGGCGGTGTCGGTAGTGGGCGCGGCGCTGTTGGCTGCAGTTATCGTCGTCGCCATTGTCGGGTGTCGTCGGTGATGGTGGTGACGGCGGTGCTGCTGTGGGTGCAGTGGGGGTCGTTGCCGATTGTTTTAGCGTTGAAGCAGTCCCTAGATTGGCGTGGCGGAGCGATCACTTGCCTCAGGAGTACCGTAGTAGTGGCCAGCACCGCGTGCAACCAAACTGTAGCCCAGTTCTAGCACACCCGTCAGCGGCGTGTGTGCTTTTTTTTTGTATCTTTGGGGAAAAGCCGCATGTTCCATGACAGACAGTCGTTACGTTCACATAAAATGCGTTTTTCTATCATTTTTTTTTTGTGTGTTTAGTTTCGGGAGAGACATGATGTGCATTATGTGCTAGACAATATAGCATCCATCGGTGTGCCGCCCCCCCTCTTCGCCAGATCCCAGCGGAGAAGGAGAGGCGCTACATGGTGGACCGCACGGCACGCTACGTTGCCAAGGACGGGCAGCCTTTCGAACAACGCCTCCTGGACCGCGAGGCTGGAAACCCTGACTTCGCGTTTCTCTTCGAGTACGAGTCTAAGGAGGGGCAGTACTACCGTTGGAAGGTGCGTGCGCCAGACGTCGTCTTCAGAAGACACATGAGAGGTTTGATGTACACCGACCGCACTTCGGAAGTGTAGGGACCAGACCATCGTTGTCTTCACAAGAGATACGAGAGTTTTTTTATGTATGCCGCTGTTCGGAAGTGTTGAGGATTCGTCGCCGTGTTCATAAGACGCACGAGAGACTTGATATGCACCGCTCTTTGGAAGTGTGCGGACCACTTTGGCGTCTACAATGGTCCCTTCTATGCTCCAAAACAGGCTGGTTACGTGTTGTGCTGAGAGGTCAGTGGATAGCATCTCCCCCTTGGACCGAGAAATGCCTTCGCTCCGCAACTCTGGAGCAAAACAATGTCGGTATTTGTCGATGTTACCACACGCACACACTTAACCCTAACCCTCCTCCTCCTCGGCCTGCTCCCCGGCCGGGGCCGAAATCGACCTAGTGAGTCCCTCGCGGGCGAACCAGGCCACAACAGATAGTAGGCGGGTGGTGTCCCAAGGTGCAACTCACCGCCGCGCTGGCTCAGCGTGGCGGTGAGGATGCACAGACGGTGGTAGTGGCGAGAGGTGTGTATGGACACTGTTCCCGCGGCAGTAATGCAAAGCGGCAAACTGCACCTGGCAACCACCGTCGCGGAAAGCGTGGCCCACGAAGCTGGAGGAGTAGAGAGATTCGTAAACACCACGTCAGTAAGCACCGCTCGCGGGAGAAGGGAGACGACCGCGGGCACCGCGGGGAGGGAGTGCTGCACCCTCCTCGTCAAAACACCACAGGCAAGAACCGAGCTCTGCAGAGATGGATTGATGCGAGGAAACTCGCCGCTCGGAAAAGACGGAAGAAAGCACACCCGCAACGCGAGGTGGACCGAGAGAGACACGAGACCGCAGCGGCCGTCAAGGCAGCTGCGAAGAAGAAGGCACGAGAGGGCGACCTATCGTTCGGCACGTTCAACGTACGCACGCTCGCCTACAGCGGTAGGAACCCCATCGGTCACAACGTGATGACGGTCATGCAGATTTGTTCCGCGACCGGCTGTGATGTGATAGGACTTCAGGAGACCCGACGAG